TTGTACAAAAAAAAAAGAAAAGGAATGAAATTAATTGAATTTCGGAATTCAGGAATTCCGAAAAGAAAAAGAGAAAAAAAAAATCCGAAATTTAAAATAGAAATGACTTTTAGAAAATATTTATTTGAATTTAAAATTTATTTAATGGATTAAATGCATTTTTAAATTATTAATATTTAATGAATGGGTTTAATTAACTTTAATATCAATGTAATTTAAGGGATTTTAAAAAAGTTGAAACGAATTTAAAGCGACTGTAATTAATTTCAATGAATTTTATTAAATGAATTAAATACTAAAACTGATTTGATTGAAGTTGACTTATTTTAGTGTAAATTAACGGATTTAGATTGGATTTTAAGTTAATGTAAGTAATTGCCGAGAACTTTGGAAATGAAATTCGAAAAAAGGAGATGTCAAAAAATAAAATGAAAAAAAAGGAGATTAATTGAATTAATGTTTGATAATAAGGTGAAGATGCGAAATTCTAATCCAATTTGAAATAGGAAACATTAATTATTTACTTTCAAAAAGGAAAGTGTAAATTTTCAAAAATAAAGAAGTTCAATTCATTTTAATGTTCAAAATGGGAGAATGAAGTAATATAAACTTGTGTCGATCAAATAGGGGTATCGTACGGAGAAGGGGGAAGGGCGAGCGGAAGCGAGGTTGGGCGGTGGGGGCGGGGGGTGAGATCAGCCGCGTGGGGGGAGAAGAGGTGCACGCGGGGGGAGTATCGGGACCSGGGGTGGGGGTGATCAAGATCGGGTAGACAGCSGGGGGGGGATGACGAGACGAAGGGGAGCGAAGGGGGGAATGACGAGGAGAAGGGGAGCGACGGCGGGGGGGAKGGGCTGTCTCTTATACACATCTAGATGTGTATAAGAGACAGGGGGGGGGGATCGCGACGGCGGGAGAAGAACGGTGCGCGGGGGAGTGAGGTGGGGGAGTCGGGATCGGAGGAGGAAGGTGGAAGCGGTGTCGGGATCGGGGGAAGGGGGAGGTCCTGATTCGGGTTGGGGTGGGGGCGCGGAGAGTCGGGGTCGCGCGCGGGCATCTGTCTCTTATACACATCTAGATGTGTATAAGAGACAGGGGTAAAGTCGTGCGCGGGTTGTGCGTGGGAGGGAAGAAGTCGGGGGAAGGGGATCCCGGTTGGTGTCGGGGTAAGGACGCAGTTGGGGAGTGAGGTGGGGGAGTCGGGATCGTCGGAGGAAGGTGGAAGCGGTATTGGGATCGGGGGAAGGAGGAGATCCTGATTTGGGTTGGGGTGGGGGCGCGGAGAGTCGGGGTCGTGCGCGGGGATAGCGCCGGGGGAAGTCGGGTGTCGGGGGGGAAAATGCGCCGCAGGGTGGGAAAACAGCGCGTGGGGGGGGAAGATCAAAAGTCGGGGAGGGGAGGTTGCGCAGGAGCGGGATCGGAGTCGCGACAAAGAAGAAGAAGGAGAAGAAAAGAGTAAAAAAAATTTTAAAAATAAAAAGGAAAATTGTCGTCGATTACTTATCTGCGCGGAGGTAGCAACGACGACGACGAGGATGGCACGGCGCGGCGGCGAGGACGACGGGCACGGCGATGGAAACGTGACACGACGACGACGATCGCGACGGTGATGATGATGACGTGGCACGACGACGACGATCGCGACCGTGACGATGATGACGATCGCGATGATGATGATGTCGTGGCACGACCACGACCAACGTGACAATGATGCTGATGACGGTGATGATGATGTCGTGGCACGACCACGACCAACGTGACGATGATGACGATCGCGATGATGATGATGACGTGGCACGATGGCGATGGTCTCGATGATGACGTGGCGGCGACGATCTCGACGATGACGATGATGACGTGGCACGAGACGATGGCTACGATGAAGCCGGGTGGGTCGGGCAGGTTCGAACCTCTCCGATACCGGTGTGACGGGGCTGAGGCAACGAGGCTGGGAGAGAGAGGGAGAGAGTGAGAGCACACACACCGACACCTGTCTCTTATACACATCTAGATGTGTATAAGAGACAGGAGTGAGAGAGAGAGCTGCTGCATTGTCACAGCAAAGAGCTAAAGAGCACAA